TGGAGTCAAGTTTGAAGCCCAGTAGCTATAGCAGTAGAAAGGCTCTCACTGACAAGCAAGACAGGTATATGAACAGGTCACCCTGGTAGATGATGACGTGGGTTCACCCAAGCTGCAGGATTCAAGTACTAACCAGTATTCACCAGAGCTCCTGATGGTGGAGATGGGTTTTGCTGTGTGTTAGTACCAGGTTTTGGTCCTTAGGAGGTAAGCAAGCCAGGGTCCAGTAGCATATATAGCAGGTAGGGATCAAGCGTTGTCAGTAAATAAGCCAAAAGGTCAGTAGTACGTGTTTGCAGGTTAGGGGTCGAGCAGAAGAGTAGTTGAGGAACAAGCCAAAAGGTCAGTAACAAGTAGTAATAAAGATAAGGAGGGCAGCAGGACTGACAAGAGTGATATGTTTGCTGGAGAGAGCACAATAATCTGGCAAACGGGAAGTGCAGAGACATGGCTTAAATCAGGACAGTCATGAGAAAGAGTTCAAAGTTCATGAAAAACAAGGTACATGGCAAGATTGTCTAATGTATCAGAAGAGAGCTGTCCAGCATGTTAGGTGACTCAGAGAAAAGAGTTACTGCCAGATACAGCAGAGGCCCTGGGTTCAGATCTGGCTCCTGACACCATCATTAGCCAAAAATGTAGCATGTTCACACTCTCTGATCCTCATTTCCTTCTTTAGGTCTGCAGTTTTTGACAGTCCTCTCAAGCATTACATATACTGAACATTATGTGCGTCCCTTTGGTGATGTCAGGGGTGGCAGTTGAGGCCCCCTTTAGCATAATTTAACAACCGCTGACCTATACAGAGCCATTGGTTTATAGCATATATAAAGCATAGATTTAGAGCCTTTTATGCATCTGAACATCTAGAACTGTTCATAGACCAAATGCAGTGTAAAAATACCTCTGCTACTTCAAATGTCCATCCATAACTATTGCTTTATAGCACTTATACAGCTTAAAAAAAAAAACAAAAACAGTCATGTATCCACCAGTCCATTCAGAACAACCAGATACAAATGAAGATGTACAAATTAAACATTTTTTAGTTTTGGATAGAGTGAGAAAAGATTAGAACCCCTGTCTGACTTAACTGCTGTTGAAGGCGCTTATGGAATGATTCCTTCGCGTCCTGTCTGTTGAAAATGTTGTTCCCTGGACAGTGTTTCTGGAGAATGTAATACTGAGGTGGGAACAAAAATAACTGACTTTTTGAAAATTCCATTTCTTGGAAGTACTGTACAGTACAGGACACAGGCTGGATATTCTTAGACCCAGGATTAGAGGCTGCTACCTTCAGGTCATTGGACACTGGCAAAGCATTTGGACACACCCTTTTGGCCATACCCCTATAACCTCTCCCCACTCTGTGAGACCTGAATTTTTTGTGCAAGCAATGCAGAGTAACAAAGGGACAGAGAAAAGGGGTGGACAGTATACTCCAAGATATGCAATTTACAAGTCAAAATTCATTTTAACCTAATAGTATAGTACAGGACACATGCTGGATATTTATAGACTCTGCGATGTCCTCAAACAATAATTCAGAGGGGTAAGCAACGAGTCAACAAGTCAAACCGATCCTTGCCATTGGGCCCAACAAAACAGATAAGGGTCAAGGACCCAACTCACAACGCTACTGAAAGTACCTTGTGGCCGAAAACTGCATTCACAGAGACCTAGATATCCACCTGGTAGAGCTTGGAGAATGGATGAATTTCTTTAGAGTGTAAGCTCTTACAATGAGTTGTCTTATCCATAAAACAAAAAGAGTTAATTTTTAGAATATAAGCTGTGGCTTATGTGAGATGGGGAAACAGCTTTCATTGTTTGAACACTGATTGAAGTAAATTAAAAACGTTCTGACTGACATTCTGCAGTTTAGCCACAAGATGTCACTGTTTTTTTCCAACATAGCCTCAGACTACATAGAGATTTCTATATTCATGAAGGGGTGGGGTTTTACACTTGGAGAGTGAACAGGAAAAGGAGAGGAGAGCAGCCATGCTTGAGAGAGAGAAGGGGGGCTGTGTGATCTGATAATCCGATGCCATCCAGATGCGAGGACAGCCCTCCATGATCAGAAATTCAGTTGAGTGAAGCTGATGGTGTTCAAGACGCTAACCCTGTTCAAAGAAAGGAAGATTGCTGCCAGGAAGCTGATGGGAAGCTGAGGAATTAAGCAATATATATACTGTGATATGGCATGCTTTGTGGAGAGACATTTGTTCTGTTCAGAGTCACCAGCGGATGAAAAGCAGACCCGGGTCGGTAAGATCGTGCACGCACCTCATTTCAGTGTTGGCGCCTATAGAACTGAGACAGGCCTATAGTTAGTTAGTTAGGGTCTCTGTTTGTGTCAGGCCACAAGTGTTGTTAGTGATCATTGGAAGGACTCCACAACTTAAAGTGACATTTCACATTGGAGAGCTGATAAAATCCTACAAACTCAAGCCAGACTGGCGTTTTGCTCAGAAGGAATACTCAGGCTCGTGCTACAGGACCAGTAATGGGAGGGGGAATTCTGTAGATTTGTGTAAGATTGTAAGCTGTTGTGCTGCACCGCAGGCTAGCCCATACCATACACCCATACACTGATTCTTGTTCTTTTAGGGTAATAACAGGTAAGGTGTGGCAGCTTAGTTGTGCTCGCCAGAAGGTAAATTAATACACTTTCTACCTTCATCCATCAGAAGGCACCGTGCTGTGCAGCACAGGGGTCTCAGCCTTTGGCTGGGTGTATTGAAATTTATTGTATATTTCCAGCATTTGTGGTTTTGTTTATTTGCCACATCTTAGTAAAATTCTGTTGTGACAAAAGCTGTGTTGGAGTTGCTTTCCTCGTTCGTGACTTCACTGTATCCTGGGGAGCACACCCCGGTACATGGCTTACACTTTCAGACAGACTCTGGCAGCTCTAAATACATCCAAACAAAGGGTAATTTCCTTCAGATGCTTAGAGGCCAGGCACAAGAAAGGAAGGACAATGTCTTCATTAAGTTGGAAGGTGAATACCACCTTAAAGGAGGTGCTTATCCTTGTGAACAATTAAGAGATTTTTACAAGAGAGGGCTCTGAAATGCATTTGACAGATGTGATAGCCAACAAGAGGGCATTTTACGGGAGAGATCCCCTAAAGGGAGTACCCTTATGGGTTCAAAGGGTTTTTTCCTAAGGAAGAACAAGGTGGTGTAAAGGGAGTCTGATCTATGAGATACTTTGAATACAGGTTTAACAGGTGAAAGTGAATGCTAGGTTTTTCGAATAGAAAAGGACAAGGCTAAAACGTGCCGCTTACCCACTTGCTGTCCAGCCATTGTGCCATTCAGACACAGCAGATCACAGATCAGGGTACAAGGCCATTGAAATTGTCCCTGTACCATGTGATCGATAGCAGCAATCACATATGTAAACAAAGGCTGCAGCCAGTGTTCCGATTCCTCTCACAGGGATCGCGCTGTATGAAAACACTTGGTGATTGTTTCAAACACCCTGTCACTAAAGCAGCCAGTCAGTGTCCCTGATCACATTGTACTAAGATGGCTAGTGTCAGGGGCACTGTCTGACTGCTATGGTGACAATGTATGCCAGTGTAATTAGATCCTGATCACTAGCTACAGAGTACAGTGTCACCATACCAGTGCAGCCAGCCATACGGTCTCTGATCCCACAACAGTACAGTGGCACTATACTAATGCAGCCAGCAAGTGCATCCCTGATCAGCGCCACATCATTTGCAGTGTCTCTAGACCAGTTCAGCCAGCAACAGTGTTCCTGATCACTGCCATACCAGTTTCAGTGTCACCAGACCAGTGAAAGTCAGTAACAGTGTTCCTAATCCCTGCCACACAAGTCCCAGTGTCACCAGAACAATGCAGCCAGCAACAGTGTTCCTGTTCACACCACCACACAACTCACAGTGTTAAACTAGCAGCAGTGTTCCTGATCACCACCACACACGTCCCCAGTGTCACCAGACCGGTGTAAGCCAGCAGAGTTCTGACTGCCACCAAACCAGTCCCATGTCACCAGACCAGTGTAAGTCAGCAAACGCGTTCCTTATTGCGGTCACACCAGTACCAGTGTTACCAGACCAGTAAAAAAAAAAATAAAAAATATATCACCAACTGCGTTCCTGATCACTAGCCACACCAGTCCCAGTGTCAACATACCACTGTAAAGCAGCAACAGTGTTCCTGATAGCCACCACACCAGTCCTAGTGTTGCCAGACTAATGCAGCCATCAACAATATTCCTGATCTCCATCACACCAGTCTCAATGGGGTCAATTCACTAAAGGTTACCGCATGCGATAACACGGTCACGTGACTCATTTGCATAAATGATCACATGCCCCCCCCCCCAAAAAAAAAAAAAAGGGAGGAGAAAACAACAATTCTGCAGTATGTAATGTAAAATTAAAATTGTGTTGTAAATACCGCAGAAAAAACAACATGCGGTAAGCTGTTAAGTCCAATTCACGAACAGAACAGAAAGTAAAAAAAAAGATGCAATATTTATCACCAGGGTTTTTCTGGCAGTATCCTATGCGGTATTTTTTCAGATGCAGTGTGGGGTCCCCCCCCCCAATCCATAGCAGGCCCTAGGGCACGGGTGTTAAACTGGCGGCCCTCGAGCTGTTGCCAAAACACAAGTCCCATGAGGCATTGCAAGATTGACAGGTACAAGCATGACTCCCAAAGGCTGAGGCACGATGGGACTTGTAGCTTTGCAACAGCTGGAGGGCCACCAGTTTGACACCCCTGCCCTAGAGGTATGGATTTTAAGAGGAACCCCATGCCAAAATTGAAAAAAAAAAAAAAAAAAAAAAAAAAAAAAAAGGCTTGGGATCCCCCCCCAATCCGTACCAGACCCAAAATCCTTTAGGATTGTGAGGTGACCCCTACACACTGACAGCTCGTGAGGAGAGCCGGTAATCGGCATTCCTCGGAGGGGACATGTACACAGATCATCAGGGCACTGATGATCAGTGTGCCCTGATGATCAGTGTAGCCCCAGCAGTGCCACCTGTCAGTGTCCATCAGTGCCAGCTGTCAGTGCTCATCCATGCCACCTGCCAGTGCCCATCAGTGCCACATATCAGTGCCTACCAGTGCACATCAATGCCACATATCAGTGCCTATCTGAGTTGCCTTTCAGTGTCACCAATCAGTGCCAGTCAGTGCCACCTATCAATGCCAGTCAGTGCCACCTATCAGTGCCACCTATCAGTGCCGCCTATCAGTGCCAGTCAATGCTGCCTATCAGTGTGCATAAGTACCGCCTATCAGTGTCCGTCAGTGCTGCCTATCAGTGCCGCCTAACAGTGCCAGTCAGTGCCACCTATCAGTGCCAGTCAGTGCTGCCTATCAGTGCCATATATGAGTGCTGCCTTTCAGTGGCCATCAGTGATGCCTGTCAATGCCCATCAGTGCCACCTACCAGTGCCTCCTCATCAGTGCCCATAACTGCAGCCTCATTAGCGCACATCAGTGAAGGAGAAAAATCACTTATTTACAAAATTTTATAACAAAAACTAAGAAAAAAACTTTTTTTTTTTTTTTTCAAAATTTTCAGTGGTTTTTGGTTTGTTTAAGAATAAAAAACCCGGAGGTGATTAAATACCACCAAAATAAAAGCTCTGTCACAAAAAAATTATAAAAATTTCATATGGGTACAGTGTTGCATGACCGCACAATTGTCAAAGTGTGAGCGCTGAAAGCTGGAAATTGGCCTGGGTAGGAAGGGGGTATAAGTGCCCTGTAGGCTAGTGGTTAACAACCAGCTACAGTGCGATAAATTACCACATAAAAATATGGGATAATTACCCCAATACTAATATTTTACCGCAACAGTTATTTACCACAAAATTCTTAGCGAATTGCACATTTTCAAAAGATTTACTGCATGCGTTATTTTACCGCATTTTTCAGTCGTTATTTAATTCTTAGTGAATTGACCTCAATGTTACCAGACTAGTGTAAGCCAACAACAGTGTTCTGAATGCTGCCATACCAGTAAATGGGCTCAATTCACAAAGAGTTATTTTCCTCTTTAAAATCTTAGATAAAATTACCTCATAGCGTTTTTACAGCATTTTTTTGCAATTCACAAAAAAAGCAACTAAAATAAAGCAGGAGTTATTTCATCAAAATGTGAGGTATTATCTAATGAAACCATGTGGTATTTTTATATCTAATGACGTGATATCCAATGGGATAGATACAGTGGAAATGAATTAGAACCCATCAGTTTTTATTGCTAATAAAGAGATAAAATGGTTTAAACCGTAGAAATATGCCAACTCACTAAATCAGTGGGGTTCTGGCAGCAGGTGTATTAATACAAAAGAAGAAAAGTTGACTGGAATACTAGTCAAAGGGAAGCTGTTTTCACTGGACACACGTGGTGTATTAAAAATAACTAAAAAAAGTTACATTAAGTAAATAAAAATATCTTTATACAAATATAAAATAATATAAAAAACACACACACACACACACACTTCTTCCACCAACAAAAAAACAAACATTGTCATTGGGGAGATTTCCCTTCACTTCCTGTCACTTATCCAAAACAGGAAGTGAGAGGAAATCCCTGCAAATTAAAAAAATCCCTTGGGCACCCCCTGCTCACCAGAACCAGTGTGTACTTTGGAAGATTTTCCCTACTTTTCTGGTGACAACCCAACATTTGGGATTTTCTTTTGCTTTCAATGATGATGATGGTAAGTAGGACAAATAGAGAGAGTGAATCTCCCAAATGGGGACACAGACAACAATAAAAACTTGACAGGAGGGTCTAATTTCTGTCCACTCTATCCAAAAAAAAAAGTTTTGCCTTTACTTATTCTTTAACCACTAGCCTACAGGGCACTTATATCCCCTTCCTGTACAGGCCAATTTCCAGCTTTCAGCGCTGTCACACTTTGAATGACAATTGTGCGGTCATGCAACACTGTTATTATTTCTTCCTAAACAAAGCAAAAACCACTGAAAATTTTGAAAAAAAAAAAAAAAAAACACGTTTTTTTCTTAGTTTTTGTTATACACTTTTGTAAATAGGTGATTTTTCTCCTTCACTGATGTGCGCTAATGAGGCTGCAGTGATGGGCACTGATAGGCTGCACTGATGAGGAGGCACTGGTAGGTTGCACTGATGGGCATTGACAGGCATCACTGATGGGCACTGAAAGGCAGCACTGATACATGACACTGATATATGGCACTGATAGGCGGCACTGATAGGTGGCACTGACTGGCGCTGATAGGTAGTACTGATTGGCAGCACTGATAGGTGGCACTGACTGGCACTGATGGGTGACATTGAAAGGCAGCTCAGATGGGCACTGATATGCGGCATTGATGTGCACTCGTATGCACTGATATGTGGCATTGATGTGGCACTGATGGGCACTGGCACGTGGCACTGATAGGTGGCACTTCTGGGGCCACACTGATCATCAGGGCACACTGATCATCAGTGACCTGATGATCAGTGTATATGTCCCCTCCGCGGAAAGCCGATTACCGGCTCTCCTCTCCTCTCGAGCTGTCAGCGTGACAGCTTGAGAGGAGAGAAATGCCGATAACTGGCATTTCCGTGTTTACATGTGATCAGCTGTGATTGGACACAGCTGATCACATGACCGAGCCGACATCTTCGGCTCTTTCCGTGATCCGCTGTGTCCAAGGGACACAGCGCACCGGCGACCGCTGCGCTGCACACTCCCTTATCCGCGCATGTGCAGTGAGAATGGTAGGACATCATATGACGTCCTATCAGAACGAGAGAACTACCTTGCGCCCGTCATTGTACTATAGGGCGGGCGGAAGGTGGTTAAGTAAATCAACCCCAAGGATTCGGTTTTCCATATTTTGGTTTCTATGCATTGTTTGTTGAGAGAACTGATCCAAAAAGGTAGAGACATTCCTCAACCTCTTCATGCCAACAGTAGGCAAATATGCGGCCTCTCGGCGGCTGGGCCTTGACGCCGAGCGGTTGCATATTTGCGTACCATTTGTAAACCAATGTGCTGAGATCATGTGACTGTCGTGACAGCTAATCACGGCAGTCACATGACCCTCCCGGAGTCAGAAACCCCTTAAAGGGCCAAGAGGCGACGGCATGAAGGGGTTAAATACCTCATGCCTGGACCACTACTTATTTAACTCATGCATTTATTTACTTTAGTGAATTGACTTGAAACGCGGTTTTATGAGCCATTTATCAAACATTTTTGCTGTTTGAGGTAAATACCTCATAACGTGATAGAGAACTGACATTTTCATTATCTGACATAATTTATGGAATTGAGCCCAGTGTCACCAGATAAATTTAGCCAGGAACGTTCTTGATCACTAGCCACACTAGTCCCAGTGACACCAGAGAGAGTGCAGCCATCAATAGCATCCCTGATCACTGCCACATTAGTATAGTGTCTCTAGAGCCAGTGCAGCCAGCAACTGATGATGAATCATTGGATTCAGGTGTTCCAATCACCTCCATGGTCACAGGTGTATAAAATCAAGCCCCTACGCATGCAGACTGCTTCTACAAACATTTTTGAAAGAATGGGTCGCTCTCAGGAGCTCAGTGAATTCAAGCATAGTACTGTGACAGGTTGCCACCTGTGCAATAAGTCCAGCCGTGAAATGTCCTTGCTACTAAATATTCCATTGTCAACGGTTAGTGCTATTATAACAAAGTGGAAGCAACTGGGAACAACAGCAACTCAAACATGCAGTGGTAGGCCATGCTGAGAAGTAACCAACTGTTTGCAGAATCAATAGCTAAAAGACCTCCAAACTTCGTGTGGCCTTCAGATTAGCACAACAACAGTGCGTAGAGAGCTTAATGGAATGGGTTTTCATGGCCGAGCAGCTGCTTCCATGCCTTACATCACAAAGTTCAATGCAAAGCGTCAGATGCAGTGGTGTAAAGCCCCTTAGTTCCAGTGAGGGGGAACTTTTAAGAAGTCAGCATACCAAGACATTTTGGACATTTCATGTTCCCAACTTTGTGGGAACAGTTTGGGGATGGCCCCTTCCTGTTCCAACATGACTGCGCACCAGTGCACAAAGCAAGGTCTATAAAGACATGGATGAGCAAGTTTGTTGTTGAGGAACTTGACTGGCCTACACAGAGTCCTGACCTCAACCAGAAAGAACATCTTGGGGATGAATTAGAGTGGGGACTGCGAGCAGAGTCTTCTCATCTGACATCAGTGCCTGAACTCACAAATGCACTTCTGGAAGAATGGTTAAATATTCCCATAGACATACTCCTAAACCTTGTGGACAACCTTCCCAGAAGAGTTGAAGCTGTTCTAGTTGCAAAGGGTGGGCCAGCTCAATATTGAACCCTACAGACTAAGACTAGGATGCCATTAAAGTTCATGTGCATGTAAAGGCAGGTTTCCCAATACTTTTGGCAATATAGTGTATATTCCGCAACCACATATACAGAAGTATTACAGTACACCGTTATGATACAAAATTGGTTGATTTTTGTGATACACAAGATGCATCAATCTACTGGACAATGTCCGGTAAATATTCAGTCCAAACATTGAAAAAGGTCACACAAATGAAATCCCATACTCGGAAGGAGTAGCAGAATGTGTTTTGGGGTGAAAGTCTAATTATGTCCATGGTGTGTGTGGGGAAAGAGCTTATTAAATTGACAACTTTGTGTGAAACAAATAAATATTTTCATTTTCTTTCTGCATTACCAAAAACAAGGCAAAAAACAGGAGCCTTCAAAAGACTCACCATGCTTTTAAAAAACCTTAGGGTATTCACTCTACTCTCCAAAATGTGGTCATACTGTGGACCTACTGAGGACACCCTGTTGGGAGCGTAACATGTATAAGAGTGGAATCTGGCAATGCTGACATTACACTGTATACCTGGGAACTGGCGGTGAACTGTAGTATCTTTTAGTGACATGCAATTTTTATACGAGCGTGTTTTTAACCACTTTTTATTGAAATAAAGTGTTTACGGATAGCAGTATTGGTCTTCCTTTCTATTTCACGCTATTCCTATGATTGTGAGTTGTGAAAGATGTCTTTTGGAGGAGTAAATTACTGAAGATATACAGTATCTGAATTGTGTGCCCATGGATTAAACTGTTTTGACCTCTTAGGAAGCTTTGGAGGTCTAACACAGAGGTGAACTGATCCACACAACAGTGGGTGAGGTGTGTTATCTACAGAGGAGGATCATCACCTATTTTATCACAGAAGATTCTGCCACATTAAACTACAGAAGATTTTTTTTTTTATTATTCACTTTTGGTTATTGCATGTTTTAAGAGGACACAAAGTATAACTAAAAAGGCAAAACTTTTTTTTTAATAGTTTTGGATAGATTGGAGAGAGATTGGAACACTTGCCAGTTTTTATTGCTCATCATGTTCCTGTTAAGGAGATTCACCCTCCCTATTTGTCCTATTTACCATTATCATTGAAAGTTAAATTAAAGAAATTACAAATTTTAGGTTGTCCCCAGAAACGTAATAGAGGGGAAACCTTCCAATGGGGACACTAGTTCTGGTGACATGGGGGTCCTTAATTTGCAGGGATTTCTTCTCACTTCCTGTTTGGCTATGGGACGGGAAGTGAAGGGAAATCTCCGAAATGGGATACAAATGGTGAAAAAAAAAAAAAAAATATGACAGGGGTTATAACCCTCTCTATCCAAAATGAGAAAAAAAGTTTTGACTATAGTTCTACTTTAAGTGTTTCCCCTACAAAACTCTGTGGGGGTTTAAATGGATTTATGCGCTTTATATTATGCAAGCGTAGCGCTACCTTTCTGAGGGCCACTGTGTTGTGGGAACCCCAGGCAACCGGTATTTTTCACACTTTCATCCACAGTCAGTAAACAACTTGGTTTTGTTATTTTATTAGGAGGAAATAATTTGGATAGGGAAATTAGGATTATGGGATGCCCAGTTTGACTTCAATCAGTGAAGGGGGGACAACTTCCTTCCTATGTACAGAAACCGATCCTGGACAAGCCGTCAGTCTTTGTGGATCAGTAGCAACAGCCCTGTACGGGTGAGGAACTAGCAGCCCCTCAAAATCAGATTAGCTTCTTGTAGCTACATGCGGATAGGTCTCTTCTCCCCCTGTAGAACTGCTCCCAGCTCCACAGCCTGCAGACACTACCAGTCCTCCTGGCTGCTCTGAAGATCTCCCGGGACAAGGATAAAGGACTGAACCCAGTGCTGTCCTTTGAAAGATTGCTACTTGTGTCAGTCTTTCCCCTTGGTGATCCCAGGGCGTGCTTATATACACACTCCTCTTTGCTCTCATTGCTCCAGGTCTTGACACCATTCATGCTGCACTACTGAATTTATCCTCCTGAGCCAGCCCCAGCCCAGCCTAGAGGACACAGTCACCCCTCCCCCAAACCTAGGGGACCCCTCCCAGGCACCGATAGTTTCCTCAGCACTCCATCTTCCACCTGACTCCTCTGTCAGCCTGACTCTCCCATATTTTTGGGCTAGTCCACCACTCTGCCAGGGAGTCCAAACCTGGGATTGGCCAGACTCCCATACATGCAAATTAGGTCTCCACCCCCTCCTTCTTACAGACTTCTGCAAGGTTCCATGGTCCTTCAGAGTCAGGAAGAGGCAATAGAGCCACAACCTGTTAAGTCATCCAGCTGACCTGCAATAACCCAACCTCAATCACAGACTCACACAGTTACCATGAGTCCTACACAGTGATCTTACCTGCAACACACTACACTATTCTACCAGCACATTAGAGGGCGATACACATGTTTAATTTTACTATGTGACTATTTAGTGCCACATTGAATGTATATTCATGTACGCATTGATATTCATTTTGTGGGTTTTTCTCCTGTCCGGTTACTCCAGGGCCTCCAAAAATGAGATAGGTGGTCTGGAAATTAGATGCCTGATGTATGCCCACTGAAAGCTTGAATGTTTTTCTTGATTTTGGGCTTCTCTATGCATCCAGGCCACAAAGTCTCATATATGTGGTATTCCCATACTGAAGAGGAGTAGCAGAAGGTGTAATCCTAAGTATGCCACTGCTGTGTGTGAGAAATATCTTAATGGACAGCAGTGTGTTTTTAAAAATTAATTTTCATTTTCTTTCTTCATTTTCCAAAAGCTGGTGGCAAAAAATATGATCTTTGCAGCATCCTTGGAGAGTGCCTGACTCCTACCCTCCCCCCAGAGTTTAGTGAAAGTCCACTCCCATGTCACTGTCTGTTTACACTCCGATTGTGTGTTCCTGAAGAAGGGTGGTCCACTGGCGCAGAGCCAATTTTATTTCTCTGAGCTTAAAGATGCTGATGGGGAGCTTTGGTTCCCTGAACTGTGAGAGATTGAAACATTCTTTTCCAGCCTTTGAAACTGTTATCTGTTGTTATCACATTCCATGAGGAGGAGAAAGGAATTCCATTGCCACAGCTGGACTGCAAACAACCAAGCTAGGAAATGTCTTGATTGATTTGAGAGAAGCATAGGGAAATTGAGAAATGGAGGGCAGACTTTTGGAAGTGGATTAGAGAATCTATAACATCCTCCACGATGGCAGCGCAATCCCATGAAATAATGAGGCAGTACTTAATTAAAAAAAATATAATAATCCTTCAGTGTCCAATAAAGCTGCATTTCCTCCACCACCATGATGTGATTTATCTCATCTATGGTGGAGGAAATACAGCTTCATTGGATAGTG